AAAAAGAAAAAAAAAAAGATGATTACTATAATATTTTTAAATAGTAAAAAAATAATATCACAGGCGGCACGCGTGACTCATGCTTGTAAAAATCCCAGCATTTGGAGGAAGGTCATGAGTGTGCGAGCAGAATCACAAAGGTCAGAGACAATTGAAGGACATCACTGGATAACGACAGGGTGGAACCCCCGTCTTCTACTAAAAATAGAAAAAAATTAGTTGAAAAAAAAAAAAGATACCACAACTCAGAATTCTAGATTGCATAAGCAGAACTGGCTTTGCCAAAAATTGAAATAGGAAATAAATTGGCACAGGCTATCAATTATCAGTAATTCAACAAGTAAATTAAATTTAAAATCTCCTTTTCCTGGACCGGGCATGGTGGCTCACGCCTATAATCCCAGCACTTTGGAAGGCGGAGGCGGAGGCGGAGGCGGGCAGATCGCGAGGTCAGGAGATGGAGACCATCCTGGCTAACACAGTGAAACCTCCCCCCTACTAGAAATACAAAAAAATTAGCCAGGCGTGGTGGCGGGCGCCTGTAGTCCCAGCTACTCGGGAGGCTGAGGCAGGAGAATGGCGTGAACCTGGGAGGTGGAGCTTAGATCGTGCCATTGCACTCCAGCCTGGGCGACAGTGCGAGACTGCGTGTCAAAAACAAACAAACAAAAGACTGGGCGCCGTGGTTCACGCCTGTAATCCCAGCACTTTGGGAGGCCGAGGCGGGCAGATCACAAGGTCAGGAGATGGAGACCATCCTGGCTAACATGGTGAAACCGGGTCTCTACTAAAAATACAAAAAAATTAGCTGGGCCTGGCGGTGGGCGCCTGTAGTCCCAGCTACTCCGGAGGCTGAAGCAGGAGAATGGCGTGAACCCGGGAGGCGGAGGTTGCAGTGAGCCGAGATCGCGCCACTGTACTCCAACCTGGGCCACAGAGCGAGACTCTGTCTCAAAAACAAACAAAAAATCTGCATTTCCTGGATAAAGTAGACAACACAACAAATAGTTTCAGTGACTTCTGAAACAATCAACATCCAGTGCAGAATCACAGAGGCCTCTGGAGTGCTGGAACCATCCAGGGCAGCTGAACAATGTGCTATCACTTCTCTCATCCTCTTGTGACAAGGTACATGTGAAAACAAGTATTGGCATCAGTAAGGTCCCATAAACTTAGAGTGTTATTGGTTACAATCAGCAGAACAATGGACAGAGAATGCATTTCTTTCTTTTTCTATCATTTTACTCAATGAGAATTTGGAAGCTGCTCAGTAAAGGCTCCTGAGCAATTTAGCTGTTAGTGTGGCCCTGCTAGAAACATACCAAGCTGGTAAACGACAGGGCTATACAATGTTCATGGCATTTTCATGATTCTTCAAGGTGAAGTGAATCTGGATTTGGTTGATTGTCTAGGAATGACGTAATTTATGTTGACTGTTGTGGTTTCTATGTGGCTGAGCTAACAGCACTCTCTGGGATGATGGGACATAGGTGAGTAGTGAACTGGTTGCCAAACTAAACTCTACAGGGGAATGGAAACTCCCTGGTTGTCTGTCACACACCCAGGAGTGCAGGAGAAGACAGATAGGCTGAGATGATTTATCATTGCAGTATCATGGGGAGATTGGCCTAAGCCTTTGGGTTCACTGAACTGGTCCACAGGAGAGAGCCAACTTTTGAATTTACTCTCTTAGCACCATCTTTAATGAATGGGCTTTGAAGGGTTAGTGCCTTTGAGGGAGGAGTGCCACAGGTATCTATACGAAGGATGTGGAAGTGGTAAGGGATTGCCTTGGGTGTGTAGGATACACAGGCCCATGTGGTAGAACAGTACTCGCCTCCAAGATGGCAGCTTGGGCTCTGCATTAGCTCTGATGGCATGTTGACTACAGGTCCTCATTCACTTCAGTGGGGCAAAAAAGAGGGGCTTGCTTCCTAAAGTTACATAAAAACAAGAGGAGTGATATGGTACAGTGAGTCTGCATTAATTTGCTAGTGCTGCCATAACAAAATATCACAGACTGAGTGGCTTAACCAACAGAAGTTTGTTTTCTCAAAATTCTGGAGGCTGGGAGTCCAAGATGCCGATGTGGGTAGGTCTGATTTCTCTTGAGGCCTCTCTCCTTGGTTTGCAGATGACTGCCTTCTCACTGCATCTGCACACGGCTTTTTCTCTGTGCACACACACATTCCTGGTTGTCTCTTCCTCTTCTACAAGGACACAAGTCCCGTTGAATTATGAGTCTCACCCTTATGAGTTCATTTAAGCTTAATTGTATCTTTGAAGACCTTATCTCTATATACAGTCACTTTGGAGATTAGAGCTTCAACATATGAATCTTGCAAGGACACACTTCAGCCCATAACAGACTCAAAAGATTGTCTGCACAAAGGTT